ACCTAAACAACAGCTGCCATGTATTTGATAATAACTACACAGTAACTACATGATTGTCCTACTTTATGTTGCTTTCTTCATATAGGTTCATTGTGAAATGTCAAAGGTCAACATAAGAGGGTGGCCTTTGCAACAGAGCGGCTGGAAAGAGCATGTTTATATACCCATATGTCTGTACCTAGCAAGGGTTTGGCTCACTTCCGCCATTTAACGCAGAGATAAGACAAAACCTTCGGTCCTTCACAGTCGGGGTGGTCTCCGTGTTTGAGCACAGCTACATTTGTTTTCTGTTTAAACCAGGAAGAGCTTCCTGACAGTTTCAAATCGGGAAACAACACGTAGAGAAAAATCTGCCTCAAGATACCGCTACGTACGTCAACCTTCATTTCCGGTTTCGATTTCCAAAATAAATCCCCCACTGAAGCGAACAGGCCTCTCTTCCTGGAGTTATTTACAATGTGGTTTATGTTATTTTTCACTGGTAAAAATAAAAATAAATAATAACAATAATTGAAAAACACAATTATTTAAAGACAAAAAAGAAGACAAAAAATTTTAATGTAATGTAATGTTTTTAAATCTTGTGCTTACAATGTTAATTTTATTGATTAAAGATTGATTATTAAAGTATTTATAATTGTTATTTTGCAAGTCGAGATGGACGTCTTCCAAATATAACCGCCAAGTTATGCCAAGGTTGTGGTGCATGTTAGAATAAAGCTTATTTATCCAGCTCTGTTGGTAGGAGAATACTAAATAATGCATATGAATAAGAAATTCATTATTATCCAACAATTTCTGTGGTATCATAGTTACATTTTTTTTTAAAATATATATAATTGAATTAGTTTTGGAAGTTTCATTCATTTGTGTTTTTAAATGAGAAGACTGTGATCACATTTTAAGAGTATGCTGAATGGTAACTGTAAAATACCATATCACCTAAATTTGGCTTTTCATCTACATTACAACTTAAATCAAAATTATTATAAAAAATATTTCTTTTTAAGTAAGGAAAAAAAGTTAATTAAAGGTAAACAAGATCTGTAGTCATTTTAACTAATTATAATTGTATAATTATTCATACTTTTCGAAATATTTTTAATTTCTGTAGCTTTCTTACACTATATTTTTCTATTATGTGTATGTAATGTGTAAATTGCAAATTTTGTTTGTGCTATTGTGGATGTGAAAGGCCAGTGAGGAACAAGAAATTATTGGAAATTAACTTTAACTCTATGTGCACATGAGTGTCATGCTCTGTATTGGAACGTTGCATTGTTCCGTCAAAAATAATCAAATTGAAATTCCATATTTTTACAAAACCTTTTGTTAGCGTAGATAGTTTATAATAATCGGTAGTTGCCTGCCCCTCTGTCAGGCATATATAGAAGGAGATGGTTTCCGCTCTCACTGTATTCGGTGTTATGTTGCACTCTTGTGGCAACCGCGGTAACTACAGGGAGAACAACCCGGAGCTGGATGCGGACACGAGCCTGGCTGACCTGGAGTAGATGCACAAAAAGATGTCATATGATCAGGTGCATTGGTTGTGTTTGCTGTTTTTTGCCTTGGTTTTCCGTCCTGGGACAGCGGCAGAGGTTTCCGTATGGAGCATGGACATCAACTCGGTCAGTGTCTTTAACATATGTGTCTTTTCCATTATTACATAGTCTCTAAGCTAAGTCCTCCATGGTAGCTGTTAGCCGAAGAAGCTAACTAGCCCCTTCTTTCCTCTGTAATATCTACCTGGCGCAAACACTGGCGTTTTGCTTTGACAGCTCTTGTTTGGATAGTCTGACACGACAAGTCGCTTATTCGCTTATTACCTCGCTTTTAAACCACAGATTTTCGTTTCATTAACGCTACTATTTTTGTCTGGACATTCAAAAGGTGATATTTTTTTCAGTTCCACTGTGTAAAAGCAGGTGGTGTCATGTTACAGCTTCGTTTGCATCTGTGTTACACAGGAAAAGTAATTCTAGTTTAGAAATTGATGGCTCAGCCGGTGATATTACCTCACTAAATTCAAGGTGAGCTAAAGGTGCTCCCGCGTGACGTGGATAGGCGATGATATGTGGAAAAACATGTGTTGCATCATGTTATAGAAGCTTAGGTAGATATAGTGGTGTGTTGGTATTTCTTCATATGTTGCTCTGGGTCCAGACCGTTTCTGTTCCAAGGAGCCAGACTGTCATTTTTTAAGTGGTGTTAAGTAATAGTTTTTCACGCTATCTGGAGGGCTTCAAAGGTGTGTCTTAGGACATTGCCTACTTTTTAAAAACTAATTTTCCTTTGGTTCAAATCATCATAAATGTGTAAGGAGGAGATATAACAGTGAGTGTCTACAGCCATATGTAAAACACAGTGGAGGCAAATGACATTGGTACACTCAGCGATGGATGGGCCTCCCCAAAGACGAAGAGCTTTGGAAGAAGCCTGGAGAACTATCCCTGAAGACTACTTAAAGATAGAAAGTTTCTCTTAGAGAGTTTAGATTGTGTTAAAGAATAAATATGTTCAGACCAAACACTGATTGATTAGTATTGTGCACACTTCTGTTTTTCCCTTATATGCTGTATTTTCATGTATGTTTGCATGTGTCAGTAAACCGCTCTACCTATTTTGTTATATATAATTTTAATATGACAGGTATTTAAAAAAAAAGAAAAGAAAAAAATCAGGAAAAGATTATTAAAATTGTGCTATCACATAATTTGTCTAGCACAGCAGCTGCAGCACCATTGTTCCCAGTACTCAGCACTGTATGCATCACACATGAGCAGATGGTGGTCCATAAAGCCACGTCTTTATGTGTAAATTGTACATTATTTCTGAACACAGTTCAAAGGAATCTGCAGAATTTACACATATAGTGATCGCTGATGAGCTGCTTCGGTACCTGATACTGGCATAAGAGCAAAAACAGCAGCTGACTGATATGTCTCTGTTGGGTTTCAGACGCAGGATGCCGTTTTTCGGAAGACCCTGTATGCCAACACCACCATCTTCATGAAGTGTAAGTAGCCTACGTTCTCTAAGGTGTAGATGGCCAGGACTGTAGATGTGAGGATTCACACATAACTGCTGACTGGATGGCATTGTTGTGCTGTGATTTACATCCCCCACAGCGTGTTTATGGCTCTAACTGGTATCCAGACATTGCAGATAAGTTGGATACCCTGCAGCCTTCAAACAGAATATCTAGAGACTAAAAGCAAAATGTCAGTGTTTAAAATGACGAATACTCTTTGAAATAGTCTTATCTCCACAGTACAGATTGTACTGTGGTATAAATTTCTCTTCTTTGTGTGGTGCTGTTTGTAGAACTGATTGCTGGCGTTCCTCTAAGGAAAATTAGACACTGACCTAGAATAGAACCTGGAATACTTTGAACTCCACTGACAAGCATTTGCTTGTATGAATCAGCCAGTGGATTCTAAGTGTTGATATGTTCTTCTTTCGTCTATTTTTCAGTCCAGGGTGACTCAAGGCGGTGTAACAAAAGCTTCGCCTTCAACATCAGCTGGTACCTGCGCTCCTCTGTTTGCTATAATGAGGTCTTTAACACACCAGTGAGTATACACCAGTGAGTCTTTGAGTAAAGAAAACAAAGATATACTTTGGATAAATTTGGGTTTATCAACTTTTTTTCAGGATTTAGATATATTGTGCATCAACTGTTTGTCAGTCAGAGCAGCTGCTGTTTCCTTCCTGAAGCGATTTCTTGGCCTTGGCCTCAACTTCCATCTGGCTCCTTGTCCAAGGGCTTCTCAGACTCAGCTGCAGTTTGCTTTGTTGCTGTCAGACTTTAAGTGAGGGTCACAAACAAGGATATGTGGAGGTCACCTGTAGCACAAAGAAGACTTTGAAGTCAGATTTGATTTGAAAGGTTTGGTTCCTTTCAAGCTTGAACGTCTCTTCCAAGACAAATGCAAAGCTGGAAGGAAAGTAGTGTAAGTCCAAAGCAGTTTTACACCAGGAAGGAAATTTACTGCAATAAACAAACTTTACATTTTTCATTTCATCCATTGATTTTCTGGGCCACCTCCTCCAGCTCCTTCAGAGGCATTCATCCAGCAGAGAGATGTAATATCTCTCTGTCCTGGATCTTCCTCTCAGTATAATATCCCTGAAACACCTCATCTGGCTTCTTTTAATGTGGAGTGATAGCTGCTCCAACCTGAGCCCCTCCTGAATGACTGCGCTCATTCCCTGTGAAGGAAGCTTATTTCCCACGTTTGTGTCTGCCATCTAATTTACCCAGAGTTCATAGCCAAATGTCTTGGCAGGAATGTAGACCGACAGCATTGGTTTCACGCTTCACGCCAATAGAGCAACTACAAAAAGCACAGACAAAATCCTGAGACCACCGAACCCTCCACCCTTTACCCCTTCTCTGCGCCTAGAAGTGCTGTTCATTTAAGCTGAAAAGAATTTGCTTTACATCCATCCATCTTCTGTTTATCTAGTTCAGGTTTGTGGTGGGCTGGAGCCTAATCATACACCCTGACCCAGTTGCCAATCTATCACAAGGCACTTCAAATTTTTATTAAATAAAAAAGATCTAAATGAAATGAATACCTTCAGATTTAGTCAGTTTTACTTTGTGGGTTTGATGTGAAGCATGAACATACTTTTGTTTTGTAAGTGAAAAAATAAACCCTGTTTGTGATTTGGATGTTTGGATCTACTCTTCTTACAAAAAATGTATTTACTATCTGAAATACTTTGGGCCCTTGAAATTAGGTTCCACTTACTTGCCTGTGTTTGCACTATTCAATGAGTCCTGTGAAGGCTGGTGCTTTTGTCTTTGTTATTCAGCATTATTCAGCTGGTGTGTAAAATATTATCATATGCATATTAATGGTCATTTTTATATGGTGTCAAATATTTAGCAAAATGTCTTGAAATACAGTAAACTCAGTTACTGCTGTGATTGTCAAGTATCATTGCAATAACATCCTGTCTGTTCATTATAATAAACATAACATAAAGTACATGTTATAACACACTGTTTTGCAGGACAACAAAGCAAGGAACATGTTTGGCATGGAGCACATGCTGAAAGATGGCTGGAGTGGCTTCTACAGTCAGGGCTACATGTACTTTGACAACTGTTCCTCTCTCTTGTTACCAAAGGTCAGTGACAACAATACCGTCCTGGATCACTGTAGATGGCACATAAACTCATTTATTATGTGTGTGTAATAGTCCAGTTTCTGTGCAGCAGTTATCCGATACTGATGTAAGTCCGTTTTTAAACATGTGAAACTGCTCTTTCAGAGATTTCCTGCATACACTATATTATATATCCATATCTATTCATGTGTATTTGTTTACTTTGGCCTTTGTTTTAGGTCTATTACCCAGACTTCAACCCTTATCAGCCACTGACTAGCCCAAAGGTGCGTGATCGACACTGATCTTTAGATGCTTATTATAATTTTTCATTGTTCTTATCAGAATAGCCCTAAAACTACTTTTTTCTCTTAGAGTGACCCATCCAATCAGAGCTTCTTTTGGTCTGAAAAACCGGTAAGACATTACAAGGGTGAATAAATGTTATATTTTTAATTTTTTGAGGAAAGTTTTAATCTTTTCTGGGGGTTTTGTATTCCAGTGCTCATGGGAACAAGTGTAATAATGATAATCTTTTATTGTCATTATATCAAAAGTACAACAAAATTATATGCTGTCTCATTCAATGCGAAGAAATAAATCTATAAAAAGTATAAGAAATTGCTTCATTCATCAGATTTAAAAGTCTAAATCTTCTTTTTTAGGATATCAGTGCAGTGGCCAAAGCTTGGGAAGACAGTCCTTATCTGTTCATAGTGAAGGTGCAGCCTTTGTTTCGTGGCGCTGATGATGAAGCTGAGGGAGGAGAGCAGTCCAGCTTTACTTTTTCAAGTGAGACACAACCATTTTGCATTAAGAGCTTTAGAATCATATTTCTTTAAACAATAACGTACCTTTCTTTATTTCCCAGTGAAAGTGGAGATGAAAGGTCCACATGAGTACTCCTCTCCAGCAGACTGGCCTCTCATGATGGTATAAATCCTCATTTTCTGTAATATTTAATTGCTATATCTAGGAGTAAAGGGAGTTGATGAATCCAGACATGTAAAATCTTTCACCATAGCACTGGAACCTGAGTGTATAGCTTACTTATTATCGATGACAAAGCTGAGACTGTCTCCCACTCTTGCGCCCATCACAGTTCTTCATGGTCATGTGCATTGTTTACGTCCTGTTTGGGGCTCTCTGGCTCTTCTGGTGCGCCTGTTATTGGAGGGATCTGCTGCGGATCCAGTTCTGGATTGGTGCCGTCATTATCCTCGGCATGCTGGAGAAAGCGGTTTTCTACTCTGAATACCAAAGCATCCATTACAAAGGAGACTACGGTTGGCAGATTTTCCACGCTCTCTTGTTTGTGGTATAAGTTTGTTTGGTTTTGGTTTTTCCTTTTCATATTTTGGCATCTGTTTTTCTCTTTGTATTATTTTTTTTGCAGTGCTAGGGGCTGTGATTTTTGCAGAGTTGCTCTCTGCACTCAAAAGATCTCTGGCTCGAATCCTGGTCCTCATTGTAAGCCTTGGCTATGGCATAGTCAAGTGAGTTGATTCCTTTAAAGGTTACCTGATTGTATATAGTCTCTAGTGGATAACCCACTGCTGTTACTTGTTTTAAACAAGCTCTTAGTATTAATGCACTGTTTTATTCTCCCTTCTGCTTAGGCCCAGGTTGGGCACCACCGTACATCGGCTAGTAGCTGTTGGAATTTTTTACCTTCTCTTCTCCTCAGTAGAAGGTGTGCTGCGAGTAACCGGTGTAAGTGTCTAATATTGATAAGCAGCAGATGCAAGTTTTTATCTTGCAGTCATCCTTAAGAATAAAAATCAGTTTTTAGCTAAATATTTATTGTGTGGCAGCTTTCAAAACCAAGACTACAAAGTACTTTTTTATACAAGGATTATAAGAACAGTCACACATACATATTCTTTTTTAAAATTTTTTTTAAATAAATAAATAAATTATGCCCTAAATAAATAAAAATACATTTGAACAAAGGTTGATTTAAAATGTCCCTTGAAGGCATACTCTCTGCTGATTAGGACACCCTTATACTTCACTTCTAGGACCACGTATTAAGTTTCAGTGGCCTCACATTAATTTTATCCAGGCAAGTGAAATGAACCCACTGCATTTCAGTTAGTACACATTATTTGTTGCAGCCTCTGGAGGGTGATTGAAGCTGATGGCTACGATGTATTTTTGCATAAAAATCTGGCCCGGTGCAGCAGGGAAGGCGCTCTCTATATATAAATTCGATTTGAGTGCAGGAGACCATAGAGAGGGAAGGTTACACAGGGATTCTGTCTCTGGCAGGCAGACAAGTGATCATGATAGAGAATGACAAATTTGATCCATGAGTAATTTTTTGAAAGAAGCTAAAGACACAGCAGCGAGTTCAGCAAACGCAATTTAAACGTAAGATAAGAAAGACAGGAAGGAGAATGAAGTAATGAAGTTGATTAGAATGTGTTTTGTAATCTTAACACAAGCTCATGTTTACCCAACACTTTCATAGCATGTACACGTCACCTTTCTTCTTTTGTGCTCGAGGTGATCATATTTAAATAAGATGCCGGAGTGCCAAATCCTCACCTAAGGGTTGCAAACTTGTGCAGCAGTCTGTATCCCCAGGCATAGATACTTCCTAAGTTTCACTTGCCAGAGCACAGACTTCTTGGATGAGCTGTTAGTACAGTTAACAATGCAGAAAACCACATTATACACGTAATTAAATGCTCTGAAAGGCACCATAAATACCACTACAGTTGAGTGTTCGCGTTCAGTGACTGTCAATTAACACAGTTGAAGCCTAGCAGAAAGTGTCAGCTACATCTGTCTGTCAGATAAAGCAGCCACACCCATAATAATGCACGACTCAGATGAAACAGGTGAGTTATAAAAAGAGCATTTTCACATGAGTTTAGTCAGAACTTCATAGATATGAAACAGTAATTCCTCCACTAGTAGTGACGTAATTGCTGCAGGATGGAGATTTGACTGCAAAAATCACATAGGTGCTCACTAACGAGAGTACCAGCAGCTCAGTTGAGTCCCTTATTGCAAAGAGATGTCCTGCAGACAAATTTTGCTTATTGCTACAGACTGATTGATTGCCTTGTGTTGGATATCTGATGGCATTTATATGCAAATTTTCACTGATCTGAGTGTTTACGGTCAGTCTGGTCACGCCAACAAAACTTTTTGCAGTCATTCTCCAGGAGCAAAAAGATTCTACCAAATCACTGGGCTACAGCAGATCTTTTCTTTTGAATGGAGATTGACTAGTTTTTGGAGTCAGCCTCAAGTGGACATTAAAGGAACTACACTGCTGGTTTAATTCTTTAGTTCTAGAGGTAGCTGCTTGATTCACAGTCACTCTTTGCTCTGTTTTGTGCTCTAAGTTTTAGACAGATCTTCTTCTGAAATGTGTCTCTTGTCATCTTCCTACAGGGCTTCTACGGGACTGTTGCCCTTGTGGCTAATCTCAGCCTTTCCCTCATTGACTCCTGTGTCATGTGGTGGATATCCTTTAATCAACTAGCCTGATGACTGCTCAGGTGTCACTGCGATTTGTATTATCACAAGCACTGCACATATAGGCATTTGATTGTATTTATTTAGCAGCTGTCCATAGACAGTGTTTTCCTTAATTTGCATTTACATTTTCATCAGCTTGTCTCAAACCACTCGTCTCCTCAAGCTCCGCAGAAATATAGTGAAGCTCTCATTATATCAGCACTTCACTAAAACGCTCATCTTCTCTGTTGTCGGTGAGTTACAGCTGTACTGGGGTCTGCTTAGCTTCCACGTTTTCATCAGTTAAAAGATTACCGTAAACTATGAAGCCAATTATGAAAGAGTAGAAATGTGCTGCACTTGCTCCTCTGTAAGATGTGGTCAGACTTGGAAAATATGTTTTATTGTGGAGGGTGCTGGAAGCTGGTGAGCTAAGCTAAACATGTAAACCTATTTCTGTATAAAGGTAATGAAACTAATATAACTTATAAAAAAAGAAGCTAATTTCTCCTAGAAAACTAGGTTTTTCTATTGATTTACAAAACATGACATGTTAATGAGTTATAGTGCTAACTGAGGGCTGATTTTGTCCTCATTAGCCTTTTTGTACTTTATTATCAACTCATGTGAAATCAGATTTATTGTTTCCTTCTGTTACTAACTTGTATTTAAGCTCCAGGCTCCTGCTTTGTGTTTACTGTGTAGCTGTCAGTGTGGGCAATCTTCATTTAACCCTTTACAAGAAAGGGAATCTGCATATTTCCATACGTGATAAATATTTTTTGAACACATCTGTTTCATTAAAAAAAAAAAAAAAAACATCTGCAGTTTACCAATGCTGTGGCTAGAATTACCTTCAGGTCAGTTTGTTGTTTGTGTGCTGTAGTTTCTGCGAAACACATGTATTTTGTTTACAGTCATCTAAATCCTTGGTGTTTATTTTGTGTCCACAGCTTCTATCATATTTATCATCTGGACCACCAAGGTCTTCAAGTTGGTCGACTGTCAGAGGGTCAGTTTGCTTTCTCTTTTGGCTGAGTTATATTTATCTTGTACTGGATTTCACTGCTTTTCCCCTGAAATCTGACCTTATCCTTTCTGCAGGGTTGGAGGGACTTGTGGGTAGATGATGCATTCTGGCGCCTGCTCTTCTCCACTATTCTTCTGGTCATCATGGTGCTGCTGCGGCCTTCAGCCAACAATCAGAGGTCAGCGTCAGTATGGAGTTTGGGCCAAAGTACCTCTGTGTAAGCTCGCGGTTAACGCGATTCATAAAGATTTCAGCCTATGTGGTGTTTCCTTTCAGGTTCTCCCATTCCCCTCTGATTGATGATGATGATGAAGAGGAGGAAGCCAAGGAGCCCATGCTGAACGAAGCCTTTGGTACGACATTTGACTCCTCTTGTAATTTAAAGCCCCAGACAAGTGTTTGCCATATTAAACGTGTTTGAAAAAGAAACTGAATGCTCATTTGTGTTACACAGTTAAGTTGCTCAGAAAAATGTTGGTTTTATTTAACTCTAGTGCTGTGTGTTGGGAGAAAAGGTAAAACAGCTTTTGATAAGCTTGGTTGTGTAAAACAGTATTAGTTGCCATAAAATGTAGTATCCTGCCGGCTTGTCATCTTGTGCCATATCACATGCCAGCTGATTCTTTAAATTTTGATCAGTTTTGTTTAGGTTCCACTAACAGGATGTTTTTTCTTCTATAGTAACAGTGTTTAAGTGTAGAATTGAGGCCAGTGGGCTAGTATAACACAAAGATATAAAACGACAGAGATCACAGAAATGTTTTCCAGCAGTTTGTATCTTCTGTTGTATGCTCTAATAAACTTTTTTTTTATTATTTTCCTTACATCCTTTACTGACAACCTTCTGTCTGAGCTTTTGTTTAACCCAGTGACTCATTCTCAGTCTGTTTGTATAGACGTTAATTGAGAAATTTCTAATCATTTAATAGTATCAGAGTAAATGATTTCAACTGCCTTTTCTTAAATTTTCAGAAGGAATGAAGATGAGAGGCGCGAAGCCTGACATTAACGGCTCCCAGAAAATGTTGAGTAAAGAGGTAGGTTGACTTCTGACATTTTCTCTCCTGCGTTATTGTCGCGTTTACTTAATTCTGTGTTTCAAAACTGTGCTTTTTGTCAGGATGAAGATCTAAAGTGGGTTGAGGAGAACATTCCTACTACTGTTGCTGATGTGTAAGTAAACTTTTATTTTGGTGAAAAACTGCTACACTAAATGACATTTGGATGGAAATATGGAAAAGTACTATATTGCTGTTATTCAAGCCATATTCATAGTGTTTGACTTACTCCTGATGTGCGTGGTATATTCATGGCCTCTTTCTCTGTTTTTTTTTTTTTCTTTTTCCCCTCCATACAGAGCTCTCCCTGTAATGCTAGATGAGGAAGAAGTAAGGAGCCTTTTTACTTTACACATGCGAGTCCCATGATTCTACTCACACTTTAATCTATTTAAAGTCCTGACCTTTTACTGTGACGTCATTTAACAACCACACTGCTGTGTTTTTTTTTTCAGGAAATCTTGAAAACCAAGATGGAGAGGTCCAAAATGGAGTAGAAGACGATCTGAGAGTGAAAAGAGAGGAATTCAACTGAGGCAGCAATGAGTGATCTGATTACCAAAAATGTTGGGGGGATGCATATCTGTTCTTTTGTCAGACACTTTTTAAAAAAAACTTTTATTTCACAGGTTTTGGGTAACACTACAGTAAGCTCTTATATTAACGCCATACTGTGCAACCCGGAGTGACTGGGTCGGCTGCTGATGGCATTCTGGGATAAAATACAAGAAGCAGTTATATAGTATAGCATTTATATTTATAACTATTTTATTTGTTGAACAAAATGAAGGAGAAGCTGATTCTGTTACACAAGGCGCTAGTTATCGGGAGATTTGTGAAAATTTTCTTTTCTTTTTTTGTTTTGTTTTGTTTTTTTTAAAGACTATTATAAGTATTTAATGAAAC